CCCCCCCCCCCTCCCCAAGGTGGTGGAGTTCACAGATGATTACTACCGCGAAGGAGAAAGATGAATAGTCTACACATGAATATTTGAGACGATTAAAAGTTTAACAATTGTCATGAAAATGCACAGGTGCATCCCTCACGCTGTAATTGAGTAATTTAGGCTCAAGGTCAGCATTTATGGCTGGAAGTCACCAAATCAACCGCACTTTAATTTGGTCTTTTGGTTTCCATGGCGAAATTTTTTTTGACCTCTTGCCCATTTTCTTTTTTCGTCGTTTTCTCTCCACCATCTCGGACGCCTCGAGAGCTAATAGTCGCAACTCCAGAATTCTCACCTTAAAACATGCGTAAAAACGTTTCAAACGGTTACACTCGTCTGGTTGGCGGCAAAAGTGGCGAGGTCAGACCTTCAACGATTGGAGGGAACATTTGCTTGATGTTTCTGTGTCGTGTGAGGACACTATGCATCGCTTTGTGGCTTGTACTTCGGCAGCTGGCTAAGAGTATCTGATGCCTCTCTCGAATTTCATTCCCTTCCTCCATCCGGGCATGTACTTTTTTCGTTGAGGAGTAAATGTTGATGGGCCTTGATGATAAAGTGGTTAATTCAGTGTAGGATATGAGGAGAATTCTGTCGTTTTGTTTGGCAGATTGGCGAGCCCTTAAGAGTTTACGTCTATATCTAAGGCGAGCTTGTATGTAAAAAAAGCATAGCAGCGTGAAAAGCAATGGTAGCGAGAGTTTTCTTGAAAGGATTTGCCACTTGATTTCAGTAGTATATTCACTCACTTAGTCATTGGATTTTTTCCCGTACATGTATTGGTATTCGACGCTTTTATGCTGCACAACTTCAGCATCTCCTGTGAGGAGACGCCGCATATTGTTTTCGCAATTGTGATGCTTTCCTTTCCCAAGCACTGTGACAATCGGGCAGTTGAGTGATAGATTGCTGTCAGCGATATGCCGGAAATGGTGAACCAAATAACAAATCCTCTGTCTCACGCACCTTGATGCAATTTTTTTCCCCATTTTCGGCGAATGACGCTTCTTAAAAAAGATTCGCAAGGCTAACCTCACAGTGATAAGATTTATCATTAAGTTATTTCTATGATTGGCCATGGAAGAGTTCAAATTTCCTGCCTAGCGTAGAGTTGATGCTAGTCCCAAGATAGATTTTGATTTTCCTGCTCTTCGTTCCCTCCTCAGCCTAGCAAGGGAAGTAAATCATTTGCTTCATTTCTTGAAAGTGATTTAGGCCCTATCCAGAGTCACTTCTAACGCTCGTACAGCAAGTTTGGGGAATTTTATGTTCTCCAAAGTATTCTACACTGGCTAGAGCCAACGTAATCCAGTGTTCATTTGGTACGATTTGCAAGCCATCAGTGCAGTAGCTCTTAGCATAAAATTCTACTTCCTCTTCCCTTTTTTCGTCCAGTCAAGTGGGTGGTTTCCCCTCCAAACCTATGGATCACATGCTTAGATCCTGCTGTAATCCATATTCAGTCTTCATTCTTAGACAGTAGACAATGACAGCTTTGGCGAACTTTAATGTCATTAAGTGTTCTTAACTGGTGCGAAATCATGTGAATTTGCGTGTTTGGCATAAACACACCCAGGAGGAAGCGAGCTCGACGAAACTTGGCGGCATGCACACATAACTGTGTATGGGCTCATAATTCATTGATTGCGAGCAAAAAAACACCATCTGTGACCTGTTGCGTGCCTGCAGTACAAACGCCACTAACACAATCGCGGCTGGCGATGAGCCGCTCCGTTCGTGCTACACCGGAAGTGGAAGGAGATGTAGTCATTTTAATCGGCACAGCAATTGTGTCAGTTGAAAAGATTGTAGGTTTATTTAGTGAAACAGGTCAGAGAAAATACGCTTGACCTGCAAACCCTAATAAGGTAAGTACAAATGGCATGGTGCCGTAATCCGCTTGAAGAAATCATGTGTGCAGACAAGGCGTTTTTTTTTTGCAAAAACAAAAAGATATTGGAGGTTGATTAACTTCGTGTTGGAAAAGGACGGACTTGGTGAGCGCATTTTAAAGGTAGTAATGAAGA